CATATATCTAAAATAAATTATTTTATTTGGGAAATCTGACAAGACCACAAGTTCTTTTCACTTCATGATCGGAGGGGTGTTTCATTATTTCTGATTTCCTTCTGCAAGATCTTGTGGGACATGACTTTTATGAGATTAAGCTGGTATTAGTCTCATGGAGCAGGTTCTTACACAAGGATCCCTTTAAACTGAATGTTGTAGTTTATATTTGTTACTGTGAAAGAGTATTTCCATACAAGTAAAGTACCTTAGATTTGGATGTTTGTTGCTTTCAAAACCAACTGTTTTTAACTGATGAAATTATGTGCCATAAGCTTGTCTTTTATTTTTCCAAGTTCATGGTCAGATTAGAGCTGAAAGCAGTGATTTATTTCATGCACGCAGCAGCTGTAGCCTTCAGCAAGACGAGACATTTCCCTCTCACGACCTTCCGATATTCCCCTCAGGTTCCTTCGAGGGCCGAGCCTCCATCGACGGGGCCACGGTGACGCTGCGCAGGGTGACCCAGGAGGACGCGGGAGAGTACCGCTGTGAGATCAGCGCTCATCTCGACGCCGTCAACCTGGGAGAGACCAATGTCACGCTCAAAGTCCTGGGTAAAGGCTCGACGGGGAAATGTTCTCAAACGCATCTTCTGCTGAGTTTTCGCTCATGTTTTGCTCACCTTGTCGCTCAGTGCCTCCACACACACCGTCCTGCGAAATCCCCGCGTCAGCTGTGACGGGCTCGGTGGTGCAGCTGCTCTGCCGGGACCAGCAGAGCATCCCACCTGCTACCTACTCCTGGTTCAAGGACAGCAAGCCTATCAGCTCGCCCCGCCACGCTAACGCCACATATCAGATCAACTCCCACACGGGAATACTGGTGAGACATTATGCACGCAGGTTTAATAAATAAAGCAGGCGACAGCTGGGGTGTGTGCGCGCTGGAAACTGTTTCGACACTTTCTCCTTCGTGCCGGAGGTGAGATAAAGGATTTATGCTCTTTTTTTTTTTTAACTCTCCAGGAATTTAAATCTGTGGCCAAAGAGGACAGCGGTCGCTACAGCTGCCTGGCGTCGAACGGCGTGGGACTACCAAAGATGTGTGAGGGGAAACACATGACAGTAGGTGTGTTGGTTTCCTCACGCCATCCTGCCTCTCTCACCTGTCAGCTCCTGATGAAGCACAGTAAACTGTGGGAAAGAAAACAAACAAATTAAGAGATTTTTGCAGTTCAAAGCTTTCTTCTTGTATAGACAGTGTTGTATAAAGTACCTCAAAGTGATACTTGAGTAAAAGTACAAGTATCTTACCATAAAATTACTTTGGTAAAAGTTCAAGTCTCCTCTAAAAATATTACTTGAGTAAAAGTACAAGTATCTTACCATAAAATTACTTTGGTAAAAGTTCAAGTCTCCTCTAAAAATATTACTTGAGTAAAAGTCTTAAAGTTTCTATATTTTGCACATAAGTATCA